TAAATATAATATTATTTGAAAATTTAAATGGGAGGGCATTCACGCCTATGTTCCTAGATGAAGTATCTATTTTTTTTTATAACTCTTATGTAGCTATTTTTAATTTTAAAGCTTAATTTGGTAGGTTTTAGTATTCCCTAATAAGGATGCAATATCAATAAAATAAAAGAGTATGAAAAAATAGGCAAAGTTGTTTTTGACAAGAAAAACGAACAAAAATTGATTTCGCATAATTTTGATTTTCTATATTGGCCTTTTGTCATTAGATTTTAAATTTTTAACCACATAAGCACAATTTTGTCCGTCTATTTTGTTGGGTTTTTTGTGTATTTAGTATATTAAATACATAAAAGAGTGTAAATGGGAAATGGAGGGAAATAAAATTTTTGAATGAAATTTTAAGTTCGGACATTGTCCCATATTGGAAGAGGAAGAGGTTTTTTATGGGTATATAAGCAATTGCTCTTCTTATAGCTCTTAAAGAGTTGAGAAGAAGGCAAGCCTCGCGCCGTCGTCGTCGTCGCCCGCTCGACTCGGCTTCGGCTTCGGCTTCGGCTTCGGCTTCGGCTATTTGTTAATAGTAAAATATTAGCAGAAATGTTATTAAATATTTATTTTAATAACAGAATATTAATATTAAAAATAAATATTAATATTAAATTCAATTCAGTTATCCAAATTTCAGTTTTCTGTTTTTGTAACAGAAAATTAACTACCCTTTAATTTTCCCTCTTTATTTTCCCTCTTTATTGTTGAGTAAATGGCCATTTATATAATGGCATTTATGCTGTGGCCGTTTTGCATAAACAGTCATTCTGAAGAGTTGCACCTCTTCAGATTTCAGCCCAACTTTGGCTATAAATACAACACTATTCTGCTCAGAATTTCACTACGATTTTTTGAGTTTCTCCTCCTTCTTCTGCATAGTTTAAACATCAAACAAAGCAACAGTAAGTGTGATTTGCTACCGAACTTTGTGTTCGCTGAAACACTGGGGTTTGAAGTACCACTACACCAGTGTGTAATTCGTTCTATCCTGGGAGGAAATAATCCATAACCTTGGGTACTAGGAGGGGATTAAATTCCTTAAGGAAACACTGTGAATTCAGTGGGCTCGAATTAGTTTTCTGATATTTTGTTGTACATTTCTGTTGTTGTTCATTTCTGTTTATGTTTATTTTTGTTTATGTTTATTTATATTTCCATAATTATTTTACAAATACAGTATAATAACATATTTTTCTTTCATATAACCTATTCACTGTTCATAAAACTCAATTTGCAAGTGTTTTTTAAGAAGTTCTATTGATAATTATACTTTTGACTATTCTTGAAATTTGATTCTGTAAGTATTTCAACAATATTTTTAGATAGTATCTATTATTAAGTTTACAAATTGTAGTTATTTTCATAAAATTAATTTGTAAGTGTTTCTTTATTTTGAAAGCTTAATTGATAATTTATATTCTTTCTTGCTTTGGATTTTTGAAGACACTGTACCTCTTTCATCTTTATTTCACAATTCAAATAATTTATAATAAAATATTTATATAATTTTTTAACATATTATATTATAGGGTACACGCGCAACACGCGTACGCTTAGACTAGTTATACCTAAAAAGACTAAGATAGTAACCCACTGAATCTTTTTCTTATTTTCTTCTCATTCTCTTACATCATTTTTTTTATAATTATCTCCACTTTATTAGAAATATTGTATGGGTGGTTTTCTTACAATCATATGGTAGTTGAAATTCATTGGCTCGTCTAATCCAGAATTGTGCTGCTTAGGAACAATTAAAGAGGAAAATTTGGAGAATTCATTACAAAATGGACCATGGTTCGTCTTTGGTCACTTCCTCTCAGTGCAATGATGGGAACCAAATTTCGTCCCTTCAACTGCCAAACAAATCTTTACTGCAATTTGGGTTCGTCTACCTCATCTTCCCACAAAATTCAACGATGAAAAAATTCTGAAAAAAGTGGGTAACACAATTGGAAGACTACTCAAAGTCGATGCTTGCACATCAGCAGCTCTACGTGGTCGTTATGTCAGGCTTTACGTGGAGCTACCTCTGGACAGGCCAGTTAAATCCAGTGTGTGGATAGGTACTCACAAACAACAAATCCTCTATGAAGGACAAAAACTCCTCTGTAAAAATTGTGGCCATTTAGGTCACACAACATGGCAGTGTACCATAGAAAAACGATGCCCAGCAAACTTAGTAACAAAAGAGCGTGGTGAAAATGAGCAGAGTGGCCAAGAGCATGAGAACCCATCCAAAGCAAAAGAAGAATGGAAGACGGTCATATTCAACAAAAAGAAAAAGAATCCTTCAATGAGTGGGAGCTCAGAAACATCAAAGGCTGCAGGTATTAATGTCAACATTTTTATGCCACCACAGGTAAGTTTCTTAGCTCACAAATCTTTAACTATAAATCTCGTTCTATACAGAATACTCCTAGTGAAAATGGTTCTGGGAAATCTACCACGCTAAAGGAGACCTCTTCACAAGCAAAGACAATATCCAAACAAAAATCACTTTACAACTCTAATGGAGCAGGATAGGGTTTTGGAAAAAACCACAAACCAGCCATCGGAAAAAACTACTAAAAATAATTTAAAAACTAATAAGACACACAATATTGACAACTCAATTGGGCACGTACCAAAAAAATCAGACTACTCTACCCAAATACATAATAATACTGCTAACAAAAGCTATCAAAATAGTTTTAATCACGCCAATTCCACAAATCACCCTACTAATCCTAATAATTATAATCTGCACGCCACAAATGACAAATTATACTTGTCACGCGAACAACCTCCTTCTTTCCAAATGGCCAATGCCTTGCAACATGTAAACCAAGCCCAATCTACTCCCACCTTCAATAATTCTATACGCTATCCCCCCTCCTCCAAATGACATGCAAACTGAGTAAGCAATTATTGACAAAGATCCTGCAAAAATACAAGGATCCACTACTCTCCCAAATCCTTCTATAAGTACTAACCCTTGAACAGACAATGCCAAGACTACCATTCCCAGCAGAAGGCGTTATTGTCTCATCCAAATCCTACGCCAACAGCGACCTCTAAACATGGCAAACCAACCACCTCCTCACTCCCAAACAATGAACACCCCCATAATCTTCATCCAACCTCCACTGCTGGAGAACCACCAACCATTATCGTGGGTGGAGTTGGGCCTGATGGGCTATGCCATCTCCTTCAACATAATATTGAATGGAAGAGAGACAGTGATCGTGTTACAAAACTCTCACTACCTAGCACAGCTAATCTCGGAGGGAATCCGGATGGTGATGAACAACTTTATGAATCATGTTTGAGTGAACAACATATTCCACCCCATAGCACCAAGTACAACAACATAACCCAGATGATGATGGGACAGTGGAGTTTGCCACCATACTTTGTCCCGATTCAAAATGCAAACCCATTGATGGAGCTCCCATTCTTCTTTCCGGAAGTGATGACCAACATCAACCCGATGTTTACACCTTGGAATGCACATGCAAAACAAGGCCAAGCTCCAAATGCTCAGCATGCACCCCAGTTTCATCACCACGGACCATCACAACCCCAGACACACTTAAACACACCGCAACAAGACATGATGGAGGAAGCAGTGGAACCCATCAACTTAATCCTAGAATCAATACTCGACGAGGTAAAAGTGTTTATCTTCGTGGAGACGTAAGAGCAGAGGCAAGTACTCAACTGTCCGATGGCACTTTACAAGTGCACAATAAACATAAGGCCAGCGACAGACCCAACAGTAGGGCAGCATGTAATGATCTTGGTTCCCTTTCAGAGAAGGAGTCCAATACATGCACCATCAGTGCTGGAGAATGGGGATCTACACAACCAGACCATCAACATGAATAGAGCTATCTCATTCATTATATGGAACATTCGGGGTGGGAACAATGATAACTTTAGATTAAATTTTAGGGAAATGATTAACACCCATCGATCTTGCATGGTCACTCTCTTGGAAACAAGAAGTGACAATCATATGCCTCTCGTAAACCCATTTGGTTTTTCGGATATGATTGAAACTCCGGCTCAAGGTCAATCGAGTGGAATGGTGTGATCATACCCTTGTCAACGTTCACAGCTTTGTACGTTGAAACCATGAAATCAGTGCCACCATTGAAGTCATTAATGCACCATGAGAGGGACCTTCTACTACGACATAATTTCAGGCAAGGGAATGCAGTAGCTGATGCACTAGCCAAGGAAGCCAAAAACAAAAAAACCAATCAATTACTACCTATCTCTCTATGTAATATGCTTAGATCTCTAGGAAATCAAAATATTGTGAGTGACAATAGTTGTTTGTATGAGGGGATACACGGCCCCAATGTTACTTTGGCGTGTAATATGCAAAACTCTATCAAGTACGTAATATGTAAATCTTTTTTACTACTCAAAAAAAAGGGGGGAAACTTCCCCTACCAGATATTTTTCTATTTCCAAGGCATAAACCCGGGACCTCTAACCAAGGGTGAACTGATCCCGTCCATCTATCACACTCCTTGGTTGTAAATAGAATGATAATAGTAATTATTCCTTCAATTATATTTTATATGATAATTCTCTTCTTTTGGTCTGTTCCAGAAAATGACTAAAAAGAAGAATGTGCAAAAAGTTTTTTTTGTCTTTTTCAACTTTCGCGCCTAATCAAATACCATTACATAAAATGAAACGAAGAAATAATAAATGTCTGTCCAACCCCCACCATCTTTTGTGGTTTTGTTTAAAAAATTGAATAAATAAATTAAATTTACACGACTTAGAAATCTGTGATTAACACAAAAATCATCATAAACTATTCTTGAATGTTTTAACTGAGAATAACTATATATCATTCATCCTTCGTTGCAGCAATTAACATACAAATTCAGCAGCAACAGCCATTAGAACTTTGTCACTTTTTTTGTCCATGAAAAGAACTAGCACTCTTATTGTCTCTGTCAATTATTTTATGTTCCATATATCAGAAAGGGTTACACTCTTTATGTAGTTACAATGGTGAAAAACTAAAACTCGAAAGTGATCAGTGAAAAATACAATAAAATAAACTATATGCTAAAAGTGGACATATATGAATGTTATCTCCCAAAACTGGCGATCGATCACGCGACTAAGGTACAAAAAAGAAGTCTTCAGATTAATGCACAACTTGCTCTAATATTGAGCTATGGCCGACGCTGCTGCTCTCTTAATGGCTGTCACATCATTTCTGTAAACCATTTTGCTCCTATTATTTTCGCATAAAATTTTACCCACAATCTTTATGCTCTGTCCCATCACCATATTCTTCCAAATTTCCTCTGCTTCTTCCTCTGCATTTCTCTGTTTCCTCCTAAAAACTTCTGTTGCATCTAATCTTTGAATTTTCCATCCCTTAACATTTATCAGTCTCTTTATTTTCTCTAATTGTTTACTAGCTAGTATACAGTTATTGATCTTCACTTCATTAATAGCTTCCTTTAGTAGCCTCTCGCGCGTCTCCACGTCTACTGAGTTTGATAATTCAGCTCGAAAATAACTATCAAATTCTGGTACGCCAATTGCTTTACGTATGCCTTTGGTATAATCTGTGTTTTTTGGATTGAACATGTTTCTTACCTCGTCAATCATACCTTGCTCCATCATTTTGTCCACTCGTTCGTACAAAAATGAATTTAGTACGTTCATGGACACATCGACCCATAGGAAACAACAATCATACCTCGTACGAAAATTATGAGAGTTGTCGTGGACAAGCGCCTCGATAAACGAATTGGAACCTCCAACGATGATCGGAAGTTTACCACGGTCGGTTATAGAGTTAACTGCAAGTGAAGCCATGTTGCAGAAGTTTTTGGTGGTGAATTCTTTGTAAGGATCAATTACGCCTAGGAGATGGTGTGGTATACCACAACGTTCTTCTTGTGTGATTTTGTTAGTTGCAATATCAAGACCTTTGTATACTTGTATTTTGTCGGAGTTCACTATTTCTCCTCTGAATTGAGTGGCTAAGTCTATTGAGAGTCTTGATTTTCCGGCGCCGGTGACTCCCATCACAAACACAACCTTGTCCTTTTGAGGCAAATTTCGCAAATTCGGCCATACTTGTTTGCACATTAGTGTAGAGTTTCTCATCCCAATCATACTAGGACGATAGCAACTGCGCCTCAATCTCAAACAAGTTAGGATCGACTGCTCGGTCGTAAAATGGGTACGGATGGGAAGTACCTTATAGATGGAAATGCGGCAACTTGACAATGAGTTTGTTATAAGCGCGTTTTGGAGAAAGAAAAGGTTCTTTGAGGCTTTGGGTGGTAATGGTTTGTCAGCTTTATATAATGGTTCTGAGCTTCAAAAAGCTAAATGGAATACTACAAAAAATCACCATACAATGATATACCAAATGATTGATTGATATAAAAAAAAGTGTCAATGGTAGGACCCTTTGGTTGAAAGTGGGTTTAAAGTAGTCTTTCTGAAATTAAAAAACCAAAAGCCTTTTGGCTTAAGAAGCAAATTTTCATTTTTTATCAACATATTTTTCCAAACAAAGTGGTGGTTAGACCGGCCATGATGTATGGGGCTGAGTGTTGGCATGTTAAGAACGTACATATCCAAAAGATGAAAGTAGCAGAAATGAGGATGTTGAGGTGGATGCGCGGGCATACTGGGATGGATAAGATTAAGAATGATGATATTCGGGAGAAGGTGCATGTGGCTCCCATTGATGACAATATGCGAGAAGCGAGGCTCAGATGGTTCGGGCATGTACAGAGGAGAAGCTCAGATGCTCCAGTAAGGAGGTGTGAGAGACTGGTTGTGGAGGGCACGAGAAGAGGAAGAGGGCGGCCTAAGAAGTATTGGGGAGAGATGATCAGGCAGGATATGGCGAGACTTCATATTCCGAGGACATGACACTTGATAGGAAGTTGTGGAGGTCGAGTATTATGGTTGTAGGCTAGGAGGTAGTTGAGTCTTGCCTTTGTACCTTTGTGACCCTAGTCTAGTAGGATTTTTGTCTAAGATAGCTAGTGGCAATGTCGTGCCTTTTTTTTTTGCTCTGCATTTTATGTTCCTATTCTCCCTATGATCTCTGTGGTGAACTAATATCGTCTCCTTTTGTCTTTTTATTCTCTTGAGCCGATGGTCTTTCGGAAACAGCCTCTCTATTCCTTCGGGGTAGGGGTAAGGTCTGCGTACACACTATCCTCCCCAGACCCCACTTGTAGGATTTTACTGGATTGTTGTTGTTGTTGTTGTATATTTTTCCAAACAAAACTCTTCAATAACATTTTCCAAAAAAAAATAATAATGTAAAAGAAGAATTATAATAAAAAGTGTCCTCCCAATTGCTTAAATTAAAAAAATAATTGATGATCGTATAATAAAATATATGTGTAGTTTGGGACGAAGTGGACAAACAATTATTTTTAAGGTTGTTATTTAGGAACTAACCAATATTTATTTTGTTCTGAAATTTTGAACTAAAAATCTTAATTGAAGTACAATTCAGGATATTTGTGTCCCGAAAAATTAAAGTGAAATGCAGAATGAATTGCCTAATTCTTAAAGAGCAGTCCTTTCAGAGTGGCTACTTGGTGCAATTTCTACTATATAATCTATGTATACTAACAAAGGAAAAGTAAACAGATCTAACCGGCTATTTGTATAAAGATTCCAAAATAAAACTTTTTCACAAAATTATTTTTGAAAGTTAAACTAAAATCAAATTCAAACGCCACCCTAGTGTTTCTGCCTTTTCAATACCTTTTTTTCTTTGGCTTTTGGTATTTGAGTTTTTCTTGTAAGAGGCCTTTTTTGGACACTGTGGACGGTGATACAGTAGGTACCTTTATTCTTATACCAAATAAATATTACGAATTTCATATGTAAGCTATTTTAGCCGTGAGTTATGAAAGGTGATATAAAATTAAGTTTGATAATGCATAATTAGTTCTACTTGGAATAAATAATTTGTGGAGTAATTAATTAGTAGAATCTATGAAAGGCGTAAGTTATAGGGGTTCAATTAAATTAAGAAAAAAAGAGTCACGCTAAAAGTCAATCACCTTATATGTTGGATATTTTGGTTTGATACTGTACTTTTTTTATTTGGGACGATTATGATATAATCCGCCTTGTTTATCTTGGGAAATTGGACAGAAAACTATTCCAATGCAAAAAATGATCACGATGTTCCATAGCTTTACGATGGCTTTCCTTGCATTACCAGGTATGAGTGGTTTTATTGCCGAATTGATAGTATTTTGTTGGAATAATTTAATAGCATCACTAGTTAATTACTATGATATCAAATAGATATATATCACATCATGTACGGATCAAGTGAAGGATGCCATATTTATTTTTACGATTAATTTAAAGGTCATTATCGACGATAAGTATGGTTACTATAAATAGTCGAAAGGACATATTGTAATCCTTTTCCCACATCCACTCTTTTCCAGATTCTTTCATTATTATCAATTAGTTCACTGATTTAGACATTGAAGTATAAATTCTGGAAGCATCTTGGAGTAGAAAACTTACTTAAATTTTCTTGGAACCTACTCAATTTACCAACATAGTCTATGTTAATAACGAATAAAAGAAAGAAAAAAAAAAAAGAAGGTGAAAATTAAGAATATTGTTCGAGGTGTGTTGTATAGTTTTTTATGGTGAGAAACTGATAATACAATCAAATGGAAAGGGGAATATGAATTTTTTGTCCTCAAGTTTATTGGAACAGGTCACTACTCACCTTTTGGGGCTAAAATTATTTTACTTAAGATAACTTAAACAATTTTCTTGGAAATTATTTTAATGATAGGTCCAACGGTACGCATGATTTCGATATGCATGTGTTGGTTTGGTGCTCTCTTTTTTTAAATCATCAAATGGGAGATAAATATTTTATCGTACTAGATGAGGAAAGGCCCGTATACGGGCCCAACATTGTAATTTTATTAAAATTATTATTTGTTGGTGTTTAGTTAATTAACTTTTGAGGTTTAACAAGCTATATTTTTTAAAATTACTTTTGAATATAAAAATATTTAGTTTGAAATCGTCTTCAAATAGTATGAATAGATGAAAATTATTTATTTTTTATTTTCTAATTGCTTTAAGATAGTATGGGTAAATATGAAAATCTTGTAAATATTGATACTTTTTTTGGTTGTTGTATTATTTAAAAATTAATTTTATTTTCTCTATGAAAACCTATTTGAATAAAACAAAATTAATAATTTTCCAAAATGAGGAAAAGATTGGAAATGAGCATGCATTGCACAAACAGTCTAATCAACACATGCATAGTGCATTTAAAGGAGAGTTGTGGCTAGAGGAATGTGGGGTCCACGTGTATTTTGTATTTAAGAAATGCAAACATGGAATTTTTATGAAATGATATATATGCCCTTGATCAACCATCTTTCCTTTTCTATATAATAGAAATAACTACTACTACTACTAGTAAATTCACTTATAATATATTCGTACTACTAATAATATATTATATGGGAATACATCCACTTAGCTTTCGGTTTAATGAGAAGTCAATTTACTAAATTGGGTATTGTCCTTTTTGTAATAGTAATAAACATAGAACGTGTGGGGGATAATCATAGATAATTACTGCTAATGGAAGTCGAATCATGCCTTTTTTGTATTTTTATATTATTTTCAACCTTAAAGTTGACCATAGATTTATCCATGAGATGAGAATTGTGAAAAGACGGATTCGTACGGTCCATTTATATAAGCATTGTCGTTTCTCAAATCAAATCTGATTCCTCATGCAAGTGGAAGGGTTTATTTAGTCTTTTTATCATTTAAAAGCAGTCAACTAGTGGAAAACCTTTACAACATTACAGGATAAGTGAATCTACTTTAGTCTTTTTACAGCAATTCAACTTGTGGAGACCTTACATTGCATGATAATGAATCTACTTATCGCTTCATTAAAAAAATATCAAAAGATTCTATGCCTATTTGTTAGTGTATGGTTTTTACTTTAATATATTAACAATGTGAAAAAATATTATATTATATTATCATAATACTTTAAAGCAAATTATAAGTGATTTTATATTAAATATTGATCAATAACTTGAAAAATAAAATTACTAACCTGTTAAAATTAGCTAAACCTTATTGTTAAGTATGGAAGTTGTTTATGCATATAATTTAGATTCAATTGGATAGCAAGTCATTAGAATCTAGACCCGCAATATTATACGAGTTGTGACTCTCTGATCGAAATATCAACGCATAATTTAACATTCTTTTTGAGTTAGATCAAGTCATTTTAGTAGTACTCTATTTTTTTCAATAAAATTTTGGAGGGATTATAACCTCTTAATCAAAAGATGAGAATCAAGTTGTATGTACAATCAAGTCGATAGTCGTATCAAATGAAAGCGTGGGATGGAAATTGGAATAAAACAATGAATGATGAAGTAAGTAATTGTGGATACCAATCCAAGAAGGAAAGGCTATGAATTAGGCCTCGTACCATCAAAAGCTTTAAAAAAAGGCTTTTCACTTAGCTAGGCTGTGGTTGGTCCAAAAGCCCATTAGTGGAAAATGGGCCCACCATTACATCATCTTTGATGAGTAAAGGATCAATTTGATTTCCATTTTTCTTTCTTTTTGCCCTTTTGGTAGTACCTCAGTGGATCTATCTGTCTTGTTATAGCCAAGAATAAAAAAGGTTTTTAGCTACTTTTTCTGTTTGCTTGGATAGACTAGTGCAGTTGCGTTCACGTATAGTACGGAAAAGGGTCGCATTATTATAATGTAGGTAATCTTCCCTGATGTAAGCATTAATGGCTGATTCCACGGCTCGAATCCGTGACCTGTAGATCACACGAAGACAACTTTAATGTTACTCCGAGTCTCCCCTTCTTAGATGGACTAGTGCATTGTAAGAAAAGGTGAGAGGAAGAAGCGAAAACACTCTAGTTTTATGAAATCCCTCGGAAAGGAATGAAGCGATAGAAAGTAATCAACATGGCCTTTATGCAAGGATGATAGAGAAGATTAGCACCGCTTTTGTGCAAGAATGACACGCACAAATCAAGAAATGGTTTCACCAAAGAATGAAGAAAGACTTTTAGTTAGGTCCAGAGCTGCATATTCTAAAGGGGTTCAACAATAGAAAATTATAATGTGCAAACGATTGAATTCTCTCGACAAAAAGAAAGTTTATGGGTGTAGCAACAAAGTAGTTCAAAAATTATTTTAAATCATAAATTCAAATAGCATTTTTCTACTTTCTGAATCTTTAATTAAAATTTCTAGCTTGATCACTATTCTCAGTGGAAAAT